GACTCAGGCTGCATTTCCCACTGAACATCTGAGACATCTCAGAGCTCCAGAACTGCACAGAAATTCTCTTCAAACTCCCCCGGGGGGAAATTCCCCACCCTGAAACTGGAGCCATTTCCATTTCCGTGCCCTTCACCCCCAAATCCTTTTATTCCATTCCTGAAGGGAGGGTGAAATGCAAAAATGAGGGGGAAAAAGGAAATTTTGCAGTTTTTTCTCCCCATCAGGAGTGAGAAATCAGCCCTGGGGCAGCTGAGGGAAAACCGGAAAAATTTCCAAGAATTTCCCCAAAAATTCCAGGAGGGAGCTGGAGGAGGCCTGGAACATTCCAGAAATACAGAAAACCCGGAGAGGCTCAGGGAAAGCCCAGGAAACAGAGGCTCAGTCTTTAGAAAGTGGGAGCAGCAGGAATTTGGGACATTTACAGCAAATGGGATTTTTTATTGCTTTTACCTCAGACCTCCCAAGCTCAGGTCCCTGAGGGCGCTGCTGGCCCAGCCAGGCCTGAGAGAAAGAAGAAAGAATTAAAAAGATAAATATAAATATATAAAAACAAAACTTAAATACTATAAATATAAATATATAAAAACAAAACTTAAATACTATAAATAAAAATACACAAATTAAAAATACATAATATAAATAATTAATAATTAATGATTAATGATTAATGATTAATGATTAGAGTAGATAATAAATATTCCCAGTCTGGCGTGCCAGGAATGTTGGAATTTATGGATTTTTCCCCTTTTTGTGCAGCAAATCCCCCCCAAATTCAGAAGGAGCTGATGGGGAAACATCTCCCAGCTTGGAGCAGGATGGTTACTGAAGCTCTGCTGATTGAAAAAACCCCAAAATATGCAGCAGAAAATGTTTGTTTGGGTTTTTGGGGCTGGGCACTGCCAGGTTTGTTGCACCTTTTTTTCTTGCCTGGCCTGGACATCACAAATGAGAGGAGCTCACAAACAAACAGCGAGAAGAGGAGCTCCTGCTGCCTGCAAGCTGAAATATTTTCCATTTCTCTGTTTTGAACGGGCCCTGCCAAGACAAGGACAAAAGTCAGAAGGAGGAAAATGTTATTTTTCAGCCTTGGAAGGTCAGGGTCTAAAAATAAGTGGAAAACATCTCCGGCCTGGAGCTGGGGTGAGGAGGGGCTCTGAGGCATTTCTGGGGTAAAACCCAAATTCTAGAGGAGAGACAAGGAAAGCCCTGAAAAACTCCTCGTTTTCCTCCCACTCTGGGTTCCAAAGGTTTCCCTTCCAGTCAGGGGCATCCAGGCAGTGAAATTCTGTTTTAAGGGAATTTTCAGCTCATTCCTCCTTTTTTCATTCCTCATGAACTCCAGGAGAAGATTTGTCCCTTCACCCTGGTTTGGAAAACTTGCAGGGCAATTCCATGCTTTGCGAGGATCCTGGAATCCTAAAAAACCCCAATAAACACAAATAAACCCCCAAAAAACCCAATGAGCACAAATAAACCCCAATAAACACAAATAAATCCCAATAAAACCCCAATAAATCCCAATAAATCCCAACAAACCCCAATAAACGCCAATAATTCCCAATAAATTTAATAAATCCCAATAAAATGATGCTTGGAAGCCCAACCTTGCTGGCATGAACCATCCTGGCCCCAGGGTGCCAGGCCCTGCCTTCCTCTGCTGTGACCCAGCCTTGCCATGGCTCAACTTCCATCGGGGGGAAGAAAAGGGCTGGAGAAATAAAGGACAGAGAGAAAAAATGAGGGGTGAAGTTAAACAATTAGGGGTGAGGTTAAAAACTTAAGGATAAAGTGAAAAAGTTAAGGATAACATTTAAAAAATTGGGGATAAAGTGAAAACATTAAGGCTAATGTTAAAAAAATGAGGCTAAATTGCACAATGGAGCTGTCTCCAGGTTTAATTCACTCTGCCACTGATTAAATGGAAAAAAAAGAGCATTAAAATGATTTAACAAAGGTCTTTAATCCTTGATTTCCTGAGGAATTCAGAGCTGGAGCTGGAGCCGGCTGCAGCAGGCTGGGAGTGCTCAGGGTGGGTTCCATGGATGGGCTGCCCTTCCCAGGGATTTGGGATTATTTCTAAGGTCTGCATCACTCCGGGTGTTTATCTCACATGGTTAATTAATGAGTGTCTCCGGGTCGTTAGCTGGGCGCTGCCAGCAGCTCTGAGGGGATCCTTTTGGGATCTGTTTTTGGGGCTGTTTTAGCAACGGTGGAACTGGGTTAGAACACCATCAAGCTGGACAATCTTGAATTTTCAAAATCCTCGTGGTGCAGGCTTTGCAAAGCAGGGTTTTGTTGGGTCTGGGCACAAAGGTGGGCAGGGAGGAGGGTCCTGCCTCCAGCTGCTTCCATGGGGGATTTGGGGACTGGCAGGGGGAGCATCCAGAGTGGGAAGCTCTGGGCTCTTCACGGGGTTTCTGATGGCTCCTGGTGAGGTGGCTCAGGCTCCACCAGATCACAGAACTCCAGGCTGGTCTGGGTGGGAAGGACCCCAAATCTCATGGAGACCCTCAGGTGGGCTGGGGGCACCTGCAGCACATGCTGGGAATCTGCTCAGGACAGGAGGGACAGCAGGGACAAGTCCCAGCTCCCAGGTGTGTCCAGACCCAGGGATCCCAGATAATCCCGGATTCCAGGAGAACACCTGGAATTCCTGTCAGCAGGACCCTGTCCCAGAACACCTGGAATTCCTGTCAGCAGGACCCTGAGAGCACCTGGAATTCCTGTGTCAGCAGGACCCTGTCCCAAAAGAACACCTGGAATTCCTGTGTCAGCAGGATCCTGCCCCAGGAGAACACCTGGAATTCCTGTGTCAGCAGGACCCTGTCCCAAAAGAACACCTGGAATTCCTGTGTCAGCAGGATCCTGCCCCAGGAGAACACCTGGAATTCCTGTCAGCAGGACCCTGTCCCAAAAGAACACCTGGAATTCCTGTGTCAGCAGGATCCTGTCCCAGAACACCTGGAATTCCTGTGTCAGCAGGACCCTGCCCCAGGAGAACACCTGGAATTCCTCAGCAGGACCCTGCCCCAGGAGAACACCTGGAATCCAGCCGGGCTTGGCCAAGGCGAGGCCAGGGGGCCCAGGCAGGTCCCCGGACGCCCCGGCCGGGACAGGGGTGACCGGTGCCGGGGGCTGGCAGCGGGAGCCGTGTCCCACGTCCCCCGGGAGCCCCGGGCCGGGGCCGCCCCGCTCCTCCGGGGATCCATCCCGGCCGTGGCGCAATCCCGGCCCCGCAGCCCCGCAGGAAACGTCCCGCATTTTTTCCTTCACTATTCACGGCCTTTCCCAGCAGGGACAATACAGGATTTGCAGCGCCGGGCTGGGGGCTGTGCCACTGAGCTGCTCTGCCTCCGGCAGGCAGCGGGAGCTGCGGCACGCCGGGGACAGCGGGAATCGCGCACCGGGATCGCGCTGGGACATCGGGCAGGGCTCGGGGCTGCTCTGGCTGAGAGCTGCAGAGTGATGAGAGAGCAAAGGCATCGCTGCTTGCCGGGAATTGTTGGGACTTTCACGCTCTGAGCCTTCAGCTTTTCCCACTAAAAGTCCTTTGGCTGTGATCTCTCCCCCTTTTCTTTTTTCTTTTCTTTTTTTGGGATTGTCTCCTGGAAAACACTTCCCAGTCATAATGACAATAACACAGATTTGCTGCTCCGTGTTCCCAAAACTCCTTGGGACGGCAGAGCCCAAAACCCAAAGCTCTTCGAGGCAGAGGCTTTCCCTTTTCCCCTACATGAGGCATCCCCGCTGCCAGGTCAGAGCTCCTGGGCTTTGGGAGCCAGGGGTCTCAGGCAGGAGCAAGCAGGAGCAAACAGGAACTGGCTCCTGCGGGCAGGACTGCAAGTGCTCAGGGCTCGGGGGTGGGCAGCCAGCACGTCCACGCTTTAACAGCTCTGGGACCTCTCTGAGGGAGCTCTGAGCTGCCCTTGAACGCATCCCAAAAATGCCCAGCTCCAAAGGAACGCCTGGCACTGAGCCCTGGACAGGCAGAACGCTGCAGCTCGGGGATCTGGGGATGTCCTCGCTGCTGGAGCAGCCTGGGCTCTGGAGCTGCACAAAAAATCACATTCTGGGGAGGAAAAAGGCATTTTTGTGACCTCGAGGGTGGCTCAGGTGAGGATTTGGTGTCCTCAAGGTTGCTGGCTCCTGGCACAGCTGGGACATGCAGGACAGAGCTTCCATCACTCCTTTCCACGGGGAGGATCCCAAAGAACCCGACAACGTTCACCCTGAAAACAGGGACAGGGAGCACAGGCAAATCCAGGGCAAAGGGAAGTACTCGGGGTGGAACTCCAGGGAAAATCTTGTTTTTCCCAGGGAGGTGAGGAATGGATCCCCTGGAGATGGAGCTGGGCACATCCCCAGGGAAAGTGGGCATTTCTCAGCCTGTCCTGCCCCACAGGGATGAGAAGTTGGGAATTCCCAGGAATTGTGGCCACGCTGCCCCCAGAGCTGCCCTCTCCATGGGCATCCCGAGGGAACCCCAGAGATTTCCATGCCAGGGCTTTGCTCAAGGAAACCTGCCCAAATCTCCTGAATACACAGCGAAAAGCAACTTTTAATGAATTAATTCCAAATGAATGCCACTTCTCTTGCCTCTTCCTCTCGCTGACTGCAACAGGGCTGGCTTTCCCCTCCATATTTTCCCTTTTTCCATTAAAAAAACCCCTCAACAAATCCAGCAGGAAGATATCTGGGGTAATTGAACAGCTGGAAAAAGGCAAACGCAGCAATCAGGTCTTTTCAGGACACCAGGGATCAAAGAGGAGCTCTGTACAAATGATTTTGCAGCCAGCTCTTGGCAGGAGACAGAAACCTTTTCCCTGCTGGAAATGAGATTTGAGTTGTAAGGAGAGGAAGAAAGGATCGATCACTGTGTGTTAATTCCCCTCTCCCAACTGGAAGTACTGAGTGGGACACAGAAAAGGGGGGAATAAATTGATTATTGAATGTAATGTTCTCTGTCTTGTCTCAGGAAGAGATTCAGTTCACTTAAATTCACTTAAATTTGGTTTTAATAGGAGTCATTGAACACTTGTGTGAGGAAAAAGGGCTTTTCTTAGATAGGAAAATGGGGGAGAAAACCTTTCTGAGTTACAATGAGAACTCTCCAGGATAGGTGGTTTGGGTTTTTTTGCTGTGGAATGGGGACATTTGTGAAGAACACAAAGAAAAGAGGGGCAGAGGAAGCACAGGCAAATTCTCCATGTTGTTCTTTGAAGTGGTCTCATTGTCCTTCAGGAAATTGAGGATCTTGAATAAGAAAATGGATTTATTATCAAATTCTTCCTCTCCTGGGTGGTGGAGCAGAGCTTTGTCTCGATCCTTTCTTCCCCAAAATCTGCTTGAAATTCCTTTGGGAACTGCTCCCAGAACTGCAGCTCCTGGGGGCTGAGCAGAGGGACAGTCCCAGGACAGCCCTGGGGTGTCACTCCCTCACCCGTGTCCCCCTCCCAGGATTTCCTGAGGCATTCCAGGGGTTTTCCAGCAAGGAGGGTCCTGGCTGGGAGCAGGATGAAGGCACAGAGATGCCCAGGGCGTGGGGAAGGACAGGGACACCTCAGGATTCCTCACCCTGGCCTTTGTCTCTCTCCAAAGAAAGATTTCCTCCAATAAAAAGATGAATTTCCAAATAAGAAGGAGAGGAAATTCCAGCAATAAAACCCTGCAGCAGTTGGGGACCAGTGGGAAACACTTCCATGCAGGAGAATCTTCCCAGTCTGGAGCTGCAGCTCCTTCCTGAAGGTAATTAACAAATATATAGCAAAATAATTGATTAAAGAGGCTCAAACCAACAGCTGCACTGTGGAAATGCTCATTTCACCCCCTCATGGCTTCTGGGACAACCACTGGCTCCCAAACCCATCTTCCCCTGGCTCCCACCCCCTCAGCTCCCCTTATCACCCATCTCTCCTCTCGCACACGTTTTATTTTGCTCAGCTTTGAGACATTACAGATTCTTGGCCCCATCTGCAAATGGTGCTGCTTTGGACATCCTCGATGAGCTCAGAGGAAAATTCAGCATCATCCAGGCTCTGGGCTTGTTTTGGGGTTTTTGGTCACTTCCAGAGAAATGGAAAAACGGCGTGTGCAGGCTCACAAGGGGTGGGAAGCTCTCCAGAAAGAAGCAGGATGGAGACTGACCCAAACCTCTGGAGTTTTCCAGAAAATCTCAGCCCCAGAAATCTCCCAGGAATGAACTGGCCCTGGAGAGAGCTGGCAGTGCCTTCTGCTGACCCCACCCAGAGCTGCAAAACAGCCTCAAGGGCAAAGCTGCTTTTTCCATAATAATTTTCAGGATCATGGGCTGTGGAGAGATCCAGAGTCAGCCTTGCTTCATCTGAACTGCTCTTCCCACCCAAAAACTGCCAGGGCACAGGTCTGGCCTGACTGTGATGGTCCCAAATGCCTTTAATTTGAATTCCAGATGGAAGCCACATCAGTCCTGTGCATTTTTGCAGCGTTGCCTCCATGAAATTCCAACTCCTTTTGGCCAGCACAGGCTCAGGCTCTTCCCTGAACATCCCCTGGAGCCAGGGCACGTTGGGTGCTCATCAAGAAATACCCACCAGGAGAGAGAATTCCAGATCCCAGCTGCCTCCTGGACACCTCTGCAGCCTTGGAGAGCTTTCTGCACAAGCCATTCCTGCCTGCAGCACTTCTTCCAGGAGAAGCTCCCCAGTTCCAGGAACCCCAAGCCTCAGGTGGAGAAATGGCAATGACAAAAGCAACTTTCCTGCTGGCAGAGCTGAGTGTCCCAGCAGCAAAAGCTGCTCAGAGGGCCCAGCTTTCCCAAGGAAATCAAATATCCAGGCATGGCTTGGAGAGGGGAACTTCTGGAAAAGAGGAAAGAACAAGCCTAACCCTGTAGACTCAGCAAAATCTGATCTCACAGCCTGAGCTCATTCCTGGCTCCCAGCACAGCGGGAAGAGAACTTGTTCCTGGGGAGCTCCAAGTCCTAAATCTCCTCTTAAAACAGGAGCTTTCTGTCCTTTCCAGCTGCAGGTGCCCCTTCCTTTGCTTGCTTTGTTGGGTTTTTTTTTCCCCAGCTGAGGTTTGTGGTGGAACAGGGAATGAAAAAAGGACAAAATGTGCGAGGCTTTATCCAAGGCTGAGCAGGGCTCAGCTTTCTAAGGCTGGGTTAGTGGGAATCCATTTAAAACCCCATGGGAAGGGCTGATCCTCCAGCCTGGCCTGAGGGGGATCCTCCACTTCAGCCCATGAGGGAGAAGCCCCACGAAGCAGATTTTAGGTATTTTTGATGCCCAAACCCAGTGCAACAACGTCCCTTGGTCGTTTCAGCCTTCTGGCCTCCTCAGGCAAGGAGGTGGATGCAGCTTCTGGCTGGATTTGGGTTAAATGCCAGGAGAAGGCTCGGGCTCCCCCTGGGATCACAGTCTGGGGTCACACCAATCCTTCAGGCTGTTCCTGTGCTCCAGCACTTGCCTTCTGACTTCCAGACAGAGTGAAAACCCTGTCCAGGGTTTGGACATCTTCCTCCCCTCCATTTCCTTGGAATCCTCATGCTCACAGAAGATTCCAGGGTTTCCATCCACCTTTTTGGGGGTTGTCCTGATTTGGTTTTCCACCATGACCTTCCACACTTTGGCCTTTCCATTTTGCTGCAGTTCCTCCCCACCCTGGCTGCTGGCCCCGGGCTCTGCTTGCCCAAACTTGAACATTATTTTTCAGCTGAAATGACATCATGGCTGAAGTGCTGTTTAAAATTACTGCTCTCCAGACCTCCCTCACGTCCCCTTTTGCAATCCCCTCTCCCAGCAAAGCCCTGCTCTCATCTGGAGCGAGGAAGGGTGGCCTAGAACTGGGATGTCTTGTCCACATCCATTCCAGGACATTTGCTCTGTCCTCATCCTATAGCCAAAATAAAAAATTCCAATTGAACATCTCAATTTTTTAATAACACTTGCTAACAACCCCATAAAAATAATTCTGTGTTCTGGGCCCTCTCCACATGACATCAGGCTCATGGATTTCTGGGCCAGGCTCCCGAGGCCGTTTTAAAACTTCTGTTTGCTCATAAATCAAGGCCAGCGGTGCCGTTTTTAGCAAAAACAGCCCCAGTTCAGAGTTTCCAGCCTCCTCCAGGCTTTGCTGTGCTGCCACAGGCCCTGCTCAGGATGCAGCAGTCCCAGCAGGCTCCACTTCCACCCCAGCAGCTGTGGCAGCCCCCTCCCCAGGGAGCTCTGCCTCCTCCACAGCCCCTGCAGCAGCCAGCAGGCCCTGGTGGCTCTGCAGGGGCTGGGCTGGGGCCAGGGAGGTGCTGAGGTGTTTCCATCACGATCCTCGCTGCCACACTTCCCTGCACAGGGCAGAGCAAGGCACAGCTCTTCCCAGGAATATCTCTGGCTTTCACATTCCCCAGTTCTCACTGTGTGCTGTGCCTGTGTTTGTGCCAAAGCAGAATGCAATTGGGATTGTTCACCCACAGTCAGGGTGTTTTGGTTCCTTGGCCTGTCAGGCCCGGTGTGGAGCCCCACATTCCCCTTCACAGAGAACAGCAAGGCACAGTTCTTCCCAAGAACCTCAGAGAATGATCAAAACAATTCTTATCTCGTTTTCTGTGCCTGTGTTTGTGCCAAAGCAGAATGCAGTATGGAGATTGTTCACCCACAGTCAGGGTGTTTTGGTTCCTTGGCCTGTCAGGCCCGGTGTGGAGCCCCACATTTCCCTTCACAGAGAAAAGCAAAGCACAGTTCTTCCCAAGAATATTTCTGGGTTTCACATTCTCTGAACCTCAGAGAAAGGAAAAACACAATTCTTATCTCGTTTGCTGTGCCTGTGTTTGTGCCAAACAGAATGAAACTGGGATTGTTCACCCACAGTGAGGGTGTTTTGGGGGGTGTGTGTGTCAGGACTGTCACGAGATTCTGGGCAGTGTGTGCAGGGTTGGGAGCTTGGCAGGTTCAGTTTAGATACAATGCAATGCAGTATAGAATAATACAGATTAATCAAGTCATTAATTGGCCTTCTGCTGAGATGGACTCAGATGCATCATGAACCCCCCTGGGAATCCCACAGGCCTGGGGTGGGGCAGGAGCCAGCAGCCCCAGGCTGGGGGAGCATCCCTCCCTTCCCTTGGAAAAGGAAAAGGGATCATCCCTGGCAAGGGGAGCAGCTGGAGGAGTCCTGGACACGGGGAGAGGGGGAGCCCTCCCAGCACGCAGGGGCAGAGCTCAGGGGTCCCTGTTTGCCACGGTGGGATGGGAGTGCTCCCCTCTGGGGATGTGGGACAGCCTGCGAGCCCACAGCCCCTTGATCCTGGCCCAGGCATTCCTGGGTTCCTTCCCAAGGAGCTCCTCATTTCTGGGAAGGCCTCACAAAACTACACTGGGACCATTCATGGCCTGTGAGGGCAGCCCTGGCTGGATTCCTCCTGAAATCCACAGAATTCTGCAAGGAAAACATTCCTGGCCCTTCCTAAAGCCATCCCCCAGACACAAACACAGCTCCTTGGAAGGCCCTGCACGATGGCAAAACAACTGCAGCACCCAACACTGCTGGGTTCCCTCCATTCTCTTTGCTTTTTATTCAGCAAAACATGAAAAAGAAACTTCAACTTGATGAAACATCACCAGCTCTTCCTATAGCTGTGGAAGCATAAATGACTTTACGCTCCTTGTTTTCCAAACTTGGAGTATTTGCAAGGTAAAGGTAAAGCCAAGCTGGGCAAATTTAACATCAAAAGGGACTGAAAAGGAAAATTCTTCAGGGATGGAGGCCAGAAAATGAAATGTTCCTGTTTCAGGCCATTTCTGGGTGAGGCTGTTTGGCCCTGGAGCCCTCCTGGAAGTCCTGGTGTGGCCAAACACACCTTGGACACGTTGGGACACTCAGGCAAACCCCAGGTATTGATTCCTTGCATCATTTCATCAGTAAGAGCCAAATTAACATTTCTCCACAGAGGAAAGAAGGATTTCCTTGGGAGGATTTCTTTTCTATGCAGAGAATGTAAACATGTTATCCCCTTCCACCAAAAGCCAGGGTGGGACTCCAAAATTCCTGATTTTGAAGCGATTTTTTTTCTCTTTGAAGACACAAACCCAACGTCAGGTTTAACCCTGAGCCCTCTGCCTCGCCCCAAAATGAAACACCTGCATGAGCACAAAAGCTGCAGGAGTTCCTGGGGGTGACCTGGCACCCCATTTCCTCCCTCTGGGGAGGACCAGCAGCCCAGCCCTGAGGGAGGCTGCGTTTTCCATTACTCCACCACCCCCCATCTGCCCAGGCCAGCTGCCAGCAATCCCAGCAAAAAGGGACATTTTGGAGCCCAGCAGGAGCTCCACAGTTTGTTTTTAAGCTCAGCTCCAGCAACATCTGCTTTGGAGAAATCCCTTTTTTTATTTTATTTTTTCCCCAGAGCTGTCCATGCCCCGTTGGACATGGGGGGTTTGAGCAGCTCTGCTCCCTCAGAGGCAGCTTGAACAGGGGCAGATCCTCCCAAAGATCTCCTCGGACCCATTCAGGAATTCCAGCAGTTTTCCTTGGATTTTAGGAACCCTTGGCTGGTTCTTAGTGAGTTGTAACTTCACGTGGTGATTCTGAACCTGCAAAGGCACAAGTGCTGGCCATAAAAAGCTTTTTTCTCTGCATTAATTCCTTGGATCCAGGTCCTGTCCTGTTGTTTCAGCTCTTTTCAAGGAAAGGGAATTTTAACACAATTTTTGGAGGGAAGGATTTCAAGTTTCCTGCTGAAACTCAGTTTTTAATTCTTATTTTAATATTCAACCCCAATGTATTGGAATTTATATATATATTTATTTTTAGTATCCATTTGGAGCTGGTTTAGAGCACCAAGTTTCATTTCCTTTTCATCTCCTGCTGTTATCTTTTATTAGTTTTTATTATTTATCTTTTATTATCTGCTATCTTCTCTTATCTGCTATCTTTTAATGTCACTCACCACTCATTTCTGAGAACTTTCTTCATTCAAAATCCCTGGATTTTGGCCCAAATCTTCTCCTCCTTTTCCTTCAGGGAGTTACATCCCCATGACTTGTTCTGGGAATATTTATCCCCAGTTAAACCTGCAGGTAAATCAAAATTAATCAGATTTATCACAATCTGCTGAGGGATAAAAGCAAAAAAAATCATGAGGAAAACCCCTTTTCTGTGGATTTTCTCCACTGAAATCAGAGCTGGATTTGCATTTCCTGTTGCACTAAAATGTCTGGCAAATTAAAGAAATCCTTATATTAATTTAAAAACACTTTTTGGAGATGTTCTTAGTTTGTGAAAACATTCTGGGCATTAAAGGGCTTGGTAAAAACACAAAAAATAAATATAAATATATGAAATTGTATAAATAAATATAAAATTAGGAATACACAGCAATATAAATACATAGAAATGCAATAGTATATAACAGAAATATAAAATAGAAATAGTTACATAAATATAGAACTATAAAATACATAAATATATTGAAATGACCACTCAGTGTCCCAGCACTCCCTGCACCTTTCACTGTGATGTTAAATGTTGTCACAGAAATGTGAGGCCCAGAAAGTTACAATTGTTTAAAATGAGGAGTTTTTCCCTCCCATTTTCCCTTTTCTCAGCATTTGCACCCCAGTCCCAGCCTGGCCAGCAGGGCTCTGCTGACACTGAGGATGGATCAGCTGCAGACCCCTAAAACTCCACTCTGCATCCACTCCAAGCCAGGCCAAGTCAGGGCTGGGACTGTTAATTCCACAGGAGCCCAGGAAACCCTCAAGATTTACTTCAGGGGCTTTTATGGGGCCTTTGTTCCGTGCAGGAATTTTATGGGATCTGGGATTTCCTGGCATTTGCATCATCAGCTGGTAATTAGTGAAAATTCCCTGGGAATAAACAGAAATACCTCCCCAACCTCCATACACAAGAATTTCCTGGGAATAAACAGAAATACCTCCCCAACCTCCATACACAAGAATTTCCTGGGAATAAACAGAAATACCTCCCCAAACCCACAAAATCCTGTGGGATTTGCTGCTCCAGGAGCTCAGGATGGAAAAAAATCCCAGCCAGCCCAACCTCTCCCTGCCCTGACATTCTAAAGGGAAAAAGCTGAGGGAAAAAGGGGGAAAATCTGGGAAAAAAAAGAACAAAAAACAAAAAACCCCAATTATTTTAATGCTTCACATTTCTTAGCCCATTACCTGTGAAGATTTTTTATGATTTTATGGGATGAAATTGGGATTTTAGGGATTTTTTTAGGATTTTAGGGATGCTGTAGGAATGTGTGATCCCAGAAATTCCCAGCCAAAAGGGAAATTGTTGCTGTGATCCCACCTCGAGCTGCTCCTTGGATTTTTCCTTTCCTTCTGTGTCCCTCTCGTGGTGACTCAGGAGAAATGGCCCAGCTGCACTGGAAAAATTAATTCCCAATTTTTTTTTCCCCTATGGATTTAGCCCTAAAAAAAAAAAAAAAAAAAAAAAGTCAGCGTAGAGAATATTTTTATTTTTTAAAAAACAGATTTTTTTGTTGTTGTTGTTGTTCTTTCATTTATTGATATTCAGGTGTGGTGAAATGAGTAAAATTTTAAGGCATTTTCATTTAGGATTAGTTTTAAGGAAAAAGGAAAGAAAAAAGCAATAAACAGAGAGAGAAAATGAGGAAAAGGGAGAATTTGGATGAAATTCTTTATTACGAAAGGCACTGGAAGAGACTGGTGTGGATTCCCCACCCCTGGGAGTGCCTGAGGACAGCTTGGAACAGCCTGGGACAGTGGGATGGATGGGATTCTGGAATTCAGAATTCCATCCTGGCATTCTGCCATTTTTTAACCCCCTGAGCTCTAAATAAAAAGATGTGGCCAGAGCAGGGGGAAATAAAGTGCTTAATTTGCTTCATTTCTTGTCCTTCAGGAACCCCTGGGTGCATTTGTGGCTCTGGGTGGGAGCCCCCCTGCCCACCCTCACCCCCCGAGCCGGTTTTGATCCACCCCAGGATAAAAATGTCCCATTTCCCCGCTGTGGCCAGCCCGGGCTGCATTGGCTGTGCCCCTCACGTCAGGAGCCAGCCCAGCCTTATCTCCAAGGCTGGGAATTCCTGGAGAGCAATCCGTGCCAGCCCCATGGAGCAGCACGCCAGCAAACCCCGAGCTGCCTGGCATCCAAACCAGCCTCAGGGAAAGGCCTCTCCTTCCTGCCAGGCTGGCACTCCTGCCCAGCACTGGGGTTTGCCACCCCTCAGAGCAGCTGGGGATGATCACCTGCAGCAGGAGTGTCTTTGAAGCCTTGATGCACTCACGTTTCTGCTCTCCTGGTGAGTGCCAGCTCCTCTCTGCAGGGCACAGGCGTCAGCACCGCTGGCAGGGAGCTGTGCCAGCCTGTGCCAGCTCCAAGCCCACGGCAGGCGAGCCCGGTGAGTCACAGCCTCCCCTCTGCAGCAGGAGAAGGGAGCAAACTCACACAGAGCACAGCAAACCGCAGCCCGGGAGCTCTGCAGCCTGCCTGGCATGCACGGTGTCCTCGGGCTCCCGAGGGCTCCCAGCGCTGCGCTGGGAATTACCCCAAATCCACAAAGAACCCCCACTGCAGCTGCCCCAGCCCTTCTGCAGCCCCGCGCAGGCCGTGCCGGGGGCTCTGCAGCTCCAGCACCTCAGACAGCAGCCCCAGAGTGTCCCCAGGGCCACCCGAGGGGGCACATGCAGCGCTGCTGGCACAGCAGGGCCGTTCCACAGCCCCGCTGCCCGAGCTGCGGCGGGCACAGCCAGCGGAACCCTCCCAGCAGCACAACTCTCATCCCTTCCCAAGACTTCTGAGGAGTCTGTCGGGCAGCCAAAGGTTTGGAGAGTGTTGTGTTCATTGATAAATAAAAGTGTTTGCAGCAAGCAGCCACCTGGCTTTGTAGTGTTTTCTTTTTTTTCCCCTCCCCTCTGGTTCCACTTTCATCCTCAAATGTTATTTCACGCTTCCTCCCCGTTACTCTTTGCTCTGAACAGTTGATTCTGCTCAAGAACAAGATGAATTCAGTCTCTGCAGAAGTGGTGGCTGCTGTGTTCCCTGGATTTGGTTTTTCCCCTCCTTTTGCTGCCCAATACTCCCAGGACAAGGATGTTTTCCAGCCTCATCTTTTCAGCCCGGCAGCTGCAGATCTGGAACACGTTGATTCAGGCCAGGCTTTGTCCTACACCAAAGCAAGAATATAAAATCCAAGTTATTTATAAGTGAAGATGCATATTTGCATCTTAACATGGCAGAGGAACTGAATATCCAGCCTTTCCCAACACGCAGAAGTTTTCTCTTAAAATGGATTTATTGTGTGCTGATCGAATGGAATGAGGGTAAATCCAAAGGTTTTTGTATTTAAAGGCAGAAACGAGGTGCTCCCTTCTCTGACCTGAGAGAGCCCCCAGTCCAGCCCAGAGCAGCTTTCACTCGGGGCTGGGGGCTATTGCAGGTGACAGGAATTACAGCTGGAGCAGGAATTCCTGCAACTCCCCACCCTGCATTCCCGCTGGAGCCCCAACAGGTCCAACGGGAACAGGCAGAGCTGGCAGCTCGTGGTGGCCACAGGGGACTCCAGGGCCACCACAGGGTCACCCGCCTCAGCCCCCATCCCCTCACGAGGGTCAGTGCCACCTCAGAGTGACCTGTCCCCACCTCAGCCCCTCACGAGGGTCAGTGCCACCTCAGAGTGACCTGTCCCCACCTCAGCCCCCCATCCCCTCACGAGGGTCCAGCGCCACCTCAGAGTGACCTCTCCACCACCTCAGTCCCCGCCCCTCATCTCGATGTCCCATTGGCTGCCACAGCCGTCACTCAGCGCTATGCACCGCCCACACATAATCTCAATAACCCATTGGCTGTCAAGGCCGTCACTCAGAGCTAAGACCCGCCCATCAGCGCGCGCGATGGTGGGTGGAGCGCGCACTCTCGCCCTCATTGGCTGCCACGCCTGTCACTCAGAATCAACCCCGCCCCTCCCCGCGTGCGTGGGAGCGCACCCCTTCCCGCCAGGCGGCTCCGGTCGCTGCCAGCCCCGCCCCTAACCCTTATCTCGATGGCCCATTGGCCGCCACACCCATCACTCAGCGCCCAACCCCGCCCCTTCCCCCCGCGCGCACCGGGCGGGCGCGGCGCGCCCTCCCCACCACCTCAACAACCCATTGGCTGCCGCAGCCGTCACTCACACCCAGGCCCCGCCCTTCCCCGCCAGGGCGGCGGGGCGCGCGGCGCGCCCCCTGGCGGCCGCGCCGTACGCCCGTGCGTGCTGCGTGTGCGTCACCCCCCCCCCGCGGCGGAGCCCGCCGCTCGCGTAGCGCGGCCGCCCGGCCTCGCTGAGGGGTGCTGCGGGGCGGGGGGGGCGCGGCCAAGGCTCCCGGCCCGAGGACGCGCCGCCGCCATGAGCGTGGAGGCGTACGGCCCCAGCTCGCAGACCCTCACCTTCCTGGACACCGAGGAGGCCGAGCTGCTCGGCGCCGACACGCAGGGCTCCGAGTTCGAGTTCACCGACTTCACCCTCCCCAGCCAGACGCAGACCCCGCCCGGGCCCGGCCAGGCGGGGCCGGAGCGGAGCGGAGGGGCGGGCGGGGCGGCGCTCGGGCCCCGCGGGCCGCGTGTGGAGCAGCCCCGCGAGGCCGGCTCGGAGCGAGGGGTTCGGGGGAAACCTGCGGCGGCTGCCCGAGTCGCGATAGTGGTGGCGTTGCGATAGGGAGGTGGGAAAAAAACCAGCTCGCTTCGGGTTCTTTCTCCTGAAAACAGACGCGGGCTTTGGGTGGTGTTTGCTTATCGAAAGTTGGCTGCTGAGGAAATTCGGCTTTTTTTTTTTTTTTTTTTACTTCCCCTTCGCTGAAATGCGCTTTAATTCCTTCTTGTTATTACTGTGGATGTTAATTTTTTTAATTTCAGTTTCCACTTTCTTTGCCGGTTTGTTTGGGGGGTGTGTGGCAGGGACAGGCCCGAGACAAGTTCTGAGCTCTGGTTCCTCGTGTCTTAAAAACAGGTTTTAGTTTTTTTTTTTTTTTTTTTTTTTTTTTTTTTTTTTTTTTTTTTTTTTTTTTTTTTTTTTTTTTTTTTACTCCACCAAAGTTCTTGTACTCCTTGATGCCTCGTGCCTTAAAAACAGGTTTTAGGTGGTTTTTTTTTGTTTTTTTTTTTTTTTTTTTTTTTTTTTTTGTTGTTTTTTTTTTTTTTTTTTTTTTTTTTTTTGTTGTTTTTTTTTTTTTTTTTTTTTTTTTTTTTGTTTTTTTTTTTTTATCATTCCAGCTGATAGTTAGTACCTAAAGACAGTGAAATTGTATTTGTTTAGCAATTCACAGCTCGTAGGCAGGGGAGGAATTAGGATTACAGCTCGCAAGAAGTGCTGCAGATGAAGATAACAATCTCACTGTGCCCGTAGTAAACAACAGAAACAGCGGGGAGCTCTCCCTTATTTTTAAAAAAAACACACTTTTCTCCAGTTTAAGATGGTGGGATGTTCAGGTTCCTCTCAGAAATCCCATTATTAACCACGAAATGCTCGTGTTGAGGGATGAGTTTAGAGAGGAGCTGGGAGCTGCAGGTGAGTTTTCATCCCAAACCAGACGTCCTGGAGCTGGTTTTTGTCCTTTCCTTTGCCAAAGCTGCCCCGGCTGGGCCTGGGCGGGGAGCAGGGAGCACACCCAGCTCCGCGGGTGGGCAGGGCAGGGTGCGGGAGGGTTCTGTCCCGGGTTAGCCCAGCACAGACTCAATCCCTTTTTGTGCCTGGGAGTGCTCGGTGGCAGCAGGTCCTGTGTTTGTGACTCTCAGAGCTGCTGGGTTCTTTTCTGTTCATTTGCAGCTTTTGGATTTGGTAGAATGGATCCAGTTTGGGCACTGAGAGATGAGAATTCTTTTCTACCAGCAGTAAAATCTCTGTGACTACACTTTAAAAGAGAATTCTAATCACATTTAATTTTAAACCTTTAATGGGTTGTGATCACTCCAGAGCTCCCAGGAGGGAATTTGTGGCCAAGGAGAAGAAAAACCACCCCAAAATCAGCCTCATAAGCTGAAAGTCCAGACAAGAGGATTATTAATTGGCTTTTTTTTTTTGTCTAAACATGTTTGAAAAACCTTTGAACTCAAAGTAAAAAAAAAATAATAGAAGCTGTAGAGAGCACCTTCAGGTACTGGTTTTGTCTCCTGGCTAAAAGAGAGAGATTTTGTGTTGATTTTTTAAAAAAATCAGTGTGGTTTCGAGTTTCTGCAAACTTTTGTGGTCGTCCTGGTGCTCATTTTGAGGTTAGAAATGCCATTTTTGGGGAGGGAGTCTCAGAGGTGGAACAGGCCCCGTTTGCTCCTGAGTGAAGTAAAACAAAGCCAGGACCTGCTCAGACCTGCCCCTCTCAGGGCTCAGGGCTGATTAAATCACCAAATCTGGGCTTTTTAAAACGTTCTGGGCAAAAGTTTTGCTGCCCTCACCAGATAATTGAAGTTTGTTGTTCTTTTTGGCAGGAGGCTTCTTAAATAATGACTTCTGCAATTGATCAGGTTTTGCTTAATGAAATATTAGCCCTGTGATTATAATTAAAGCTCATTACATTTTAAAAAAATTGGAGCTGAGGAATATTGGAGGTGGAAATTTCTGCTCTGCTGTTTCTGGGGTCTTTTTAAAAAGATGAGTTGAGCAATGCAGGGCACCTCATGTTTTAGGAAAATCTGATGTGTTTTGTTTAAAAAATGTCCTTTCCCAATATATTTAATAGTTTCATAGTGTTACAAGTGATAAGTGGTCAATTGCCAAAAGTAGGTGTAGAGCACAAACATTTTCTGCAGAAAACTCTATTGCCATTGTTTCCCAGAATTAAATAAACAATCCATTTTCTGAAGTGTTTTTAGAGGAATTGAAAATCCTCAGAACAGCTGTGGCTGCTCCTGGATCCCTGCAGTGCCCAAGGAGCCCCCCGGGATCCTGGGGGTGCCCCTGGCTGGGATTTAGGGCCCTTCCCACCCCAGACCATCCTGGGATTCTCTGCAGTGCCCAAGGAGCCCCCCGGGATCCTGGGGGTGCCCCAGATGAGCTCTAGGGCCCTTCCCACCCCAGACCATCCTGGGATTCTCTGCAGTGCCCAAGGAGCCCCCCGGGATCCTGGGGGTGCCCCTGGCTGGGATTTAGGGCCCTTCCCACCCCAAACCATCCCTGCAGTGCCCAAGGAGCCCCCCGGGATCCTGGGGGTGCCCCAGATGAGCTCTAGGGCCCTTCCCACCCCAGCCCCTCCCGCATTCTCTGCAGTTTCCCTCCTGAGGTTCCCTGCTGTGGGTGGGATTTCGGCCCTGGTGCGGCTGAGCTCAGCCCCGGCGGGCCTGGCCCAGCTCCTGGGCTGGCGCTGCGGCCTGGCCAGGCTGGGTTTAATTCCCAGTGCTGACAAAGGCTGTTTTGTGCGGGCCAGACGGGTCCTTGGTGCTCAGGTCCCATGTGGAAGCTGCTCCTCCCAGGGGCGAGGCTTTCCCAACTTCCTCCTCGGGAAAGGGAAAGCAAATCGCCCTCACTGGGGATCCCAGCAGGGAAAATCACCCACGAGCAGCTGCCTTTGCCTCCCGACCCCACAGGGTGGGGTTTGGTGGTGAAAACCCATCAGCAGGATGGTGCTGGAGCCTCGTGGCAGGAATTTCCTGGCAGAACAGCTGCTGGAGTTCAAGTGCAGTTGCAGTTCTTGTTGCAGCTTGAAATGCAGCTGCTGAAAGCAGAGCTGGTGAGGAGGCTGCAGGTGTGCTCACCTGGGGCTCTGCTCCTGGCCGGGGCAGGTGTGGGAGCTGCAGTGTTCTGTTAGCTCTGATCCAGGACTCCCAGGATCCCAGATCCCGGCGTGATTTGGGTTGGAAAACCTTAAATCTCTAAAGTCCCAGAGGCAGGGACACCTCCCACTGTGCCAGGCTGCTCCAGCCCCATCCCCCTGTCCCATCCCACTGTCCCATCCCATCCCACTGTCCCATCCCATCCCACTGTCCCAGGCTGCCCCAGCCCCATCCGGCCCACCCTGGGGCCCTTCCAGGGGGGGAGCAGCCCCAGCTCCCTGTCCCCGCTGGTCTCTGTCCCCCAGCTCTCTCTGGCCCGGGGTTTGTCTCCCAGGGAGTGTTTGGGGCAGCAGGGGAGCGAGGCAGGCCCGGCAGTTTTTGGGAGCAGTTTTTGTGGCTCAGCAGCACAGAGCTGCCGAACTCGCCGTGCCAGAAGTTGCAGCCAACATTTTTCCAGGCAGAGCAGTGGCCCCCCTGCCACCACAGCTGCCCGTGCCAGGTTTTAATCCAGTGCACACAGGGCTGACATCACAGGAGGGTTGGGAGCAGCCACTTCCTCGTGCAGAGCCTGCCAAGGGCTGGGGCAGCACCTCGGGCACAGTGACATCACTGCTGCCACCCGAGGGCACAGTGACATCACTGCTGCCACCCGAGGGCACAGTGACATCACTGCTGCCTCCCGAGGGCACAGTGACATCACTGCTGCCTCCCGAGGGCACAGTGACATCACTGCTGCTGCACCGAGGGCGCAGTGACGTCACTGTGCCCTCGGGTGGCAACAGTGACGTCACTGCGCCCTCGGTGCAGCAGCAGTGATGTCACTGTGCCCGCGGGAGGCAGCAGTGATCTCACTGTGCCCTCGGGTGGCAACAGTGACGTCACTGCGCCCTCGGTGCAGCAGCAGTGATGTCACTGTGCCCGCGGGAGGCAGCAGTGATCTCACTGTGCCCTCGGGTGGCAACAGTGACGTCACTGCGCCCTCGGTGCAGCAGCAGTGATGTCACTGTGCCCGCGGGAGGCAGCAGTGATCTCACTGTGCCCTCGGGTGGCAACAGTGACGTCACTGCGCCCTCGGTGCAGCAGCAGTGATGTCACTGTGCCCGCGGGAGGCAGCAGTGATCTCACTGTGCCCTCGGGTGGCAACAGTGACGTCACTGCGCCCTCGGTGCAGCAGCAGTGATGTCACTGTGCCCTCGGGTGGCAACAGTGACGTCACTGCTGCCACCCGAGGGCACAGTGACATCACTGCTGCCTCCCCGGGGCTGGGGCAGCACAGCCACTCTTCCTTTTCTGCCTTCAAAAATCCCAAACCAAGCCCAAACTTTACTGCTTTTTTTATAAAAAAACCCACAAAGGCAGTTTTTTATGAGCACCCAAAAATGTATTAAAATCAGCCAACCTTAAAATAACTAATTGTGGTAGAAATGCCTGGGAATGCTGTAAGGAGTGCAGCTCCAGGCTCTGGGATGCACCTGGGCCAGATCAGGCTTTATTTGTCTTTTCTGGGGTGGCTCCATCAGGTGGCAGTGGGATTTGAGGTGGCTGTTTGTCTGTGACACTGTGCAGAGTGTTCACAGCAGCTCCTGGGTCTGCCCTCACCCACTGTGGGCTTGTGCTGCTGCTCCTTTGGTTCCTTTTCCCATCTTCCCTCTTGCACTTTCAGTTCCTTTGGGCCGATTGTTGCTATTAAAAGGCAGAGCTTGGAGATAACACCAATAAAAGCCAGCCCATTTATTTGTTTTGCTTTGTTTAAATGCTCCTCATTTCATTTGCAGGGCTGGAACAGCTGGTGGCTTTGAGGGCAGGGCCTGA